AAAATATTTAAATTAAAAAAATAAATGTGCAAAATACGTGAGTGTCTCTCAAACTTTGAGTGACAGGCTGTGTGCTTCTCTAAATAAAGCAAACACCAGGAAGAAATCTAAGTTTTGAGGTCAAGCTGTATAAATGTAGCACATTTATATTAATGGCTTGATCGCAGGTGTTGGGGCCTGGACTCTAAATCCAGGAGACATCAGGAAGCATCCTATCATGATTGCCCATTGAGACAAACTGCAGGTTTACATGCTCCTATTTTATAACTTTTTCCTACCTTAGATGTGATAAGTTCAGTTTTCAAATTACAAGTATTTATGACTCCGCTTACCATGGCAACTTACTGTTTTGTGAGTAATCACCAGCTTTTGCTGCCGGATGGTTCTGTCTGGATCGTTCTTGCTCTGTCTCCTTGGGTGTATGCACAGAGTGTGGTAAAGCAGTAATTAGCCTCACTGCGGGTATGAAGTCTTTTCTAATAGAAAGGTGGCTCTATCTTCAGAGACTTGAACTGTTTTTAAATGGAGACCCGTGTGACTTAATTTCATCTGATGAACAGCTTATTCTTTGAACTATTTATAGGGACATCTGAAGGGGAGATTTAACAGAAGAGAGTTCTGGTTAAAGGCAACAGTGCCTAATATCACAAAATAGATACTGTAGGATCTATGAGTTTCTTAAAGGCAGGGCTATCATTATGTCTTTGTATTAATTTGTAGGTACAAGGTGTCTCAATTACAGAAATTGAGCTTTCAGAAAAATGGAGAGCACTGGCCTTGTGTTCTGGATGATTGCATGATTCTTGAGCTTGGCAAAATTGTTATAACATAGATTCATAGATTCATAGATTAAGGGTCGGAAGGGACCTAGTAGATCTTCTAGCCCGACCCCCCGCCAGGGCGGGAGAACAACAAAAACCCCAAAAAGAGAAATGGGACTCAAACGAGTCCAGCTAGGTGGGCATCCAGCCTCTTCTTAAAGACCCCCAGGGTAGGGGCCAGCACCACTTCCCTTGGAAGTTGGTTCCAGCTCCTAGCCGCCCTAACGGTGAAGTAGTTTTTGCGGATGTTCAATCTATACCTCCTCTCCAACAGCTTGTGCCCATTTCTCCTTGTTATGCCAGCGGGCGCTAGGGGAAACAGCGTCTCCCCCAAACCCCTCTGGTCCCCCCTAGTGAGTCTATAGACAGTCACCAGGTCCCCCCTTAGCCTTCTCTTGTGGCTGCATGGGATTTATGATTGAGGTTGCCAGCTATAGCAGGGCAACTTTTGGAGTTTATAAAATCAGTATTGTCATTCCTGATTGATTGCTCCTAGCTCAGGGACAAGAGTTGCCATTTTGGATCTATGTCTATAGAAAATATTTTTATAGACCTCCACTGCAGTTGCACCAAAAGTCCATATGTTTTTTTACTAAAACACAGGCTTTCTGTAGTCCTTTGTTTTACCCAAGTTCCTTGCTTGAAGCTCATCATAAGCTGCAGTAGATGTTAGATGAATAGTTAAAATATATCATAATCAAAATAACAAGCATCAGGATAATGACAATTTTACTGCATTTGATTCCAGAGTTGGAAGCAAAAGTGCATCTAATTGCTCTAGAGCAGGGGCGAGCAGTTATTTTGGGCGGAGGGCTGCTTACTGAGTTTTTGGCAAGCCATCGAGGGCCGCGTGGCAGGCAGCCAGGAGCAGATGCATATTAATTTTCTAAATTTTTTTAGGGGCTCCATGGGCCGGATACAATGGTCTGGTGGGCCACATCCGGCCCGCGGGCCTCATTTTGCCCACCCCTGCTCTAGAGTTACCTGGAAAAATAACTTGCCTGTCGGGACCAGCATCTGGAAAATAACTTTTACTTATACAGGTAAAAGTTCATTTTGCGAGGGGAACATTGTCTTCATGTCCAGAAAATGTGATCTAGCTGCTAAAACAAATCTGGGAGGCAGCCACATGAGCTAATTTTTTAGAATTTTATCAGATAGTCATATTTCCTGCTGCTGCAGCATTTGAAGATAGAGCAGGGGGTGAGCAAAATATGGCCCACAGGCTGGATCCAGCCCACCAGGCCATTCTGTCTGGCCCTCAGGGCCCCTCTAAAATGTATAAAATTATTACCTGCCGGTGGCTGCCTGTTTTTTGAAGCTGACATGGCGTCAGCAACAGGAGGATCCAGCAGCAGGACTCGGCAATGGCAAGGAGCAAAGCCTGCCAGGCCTCACCCCACCCCCAGCTCCCCCACCCTCCAACCAGAAGCTTCTGCCTAGCAGAGCCTTCTGGCCTGGGACCCTGTGGCTGTTCCCCGGCCCTCCTTCCATCTGAGAGCAAAAACTCAGGTAAGGAGGGGACAGGCACGTAAATCAGGACAAAAATATTTTTTTAAATAAAATGTAAAGTAAGTTATTGTAGACATGCACTTTGGTGTGGGGCAAATTGCCCCACTTCTGGCAAACTGCCCTTTCCTCACTCCTTCTGGCTTCCAGCATGCTGCAGGAGCTGGGGCACAACTGAAGGAGTGGAGACACTCTGACCAGCAGCCAGAGCATCTCTCTAAAGGACCAAGCTTCTGAGTCTGCCAGTGCACACTCCTGTCATGTACACCATGCCGCTTTTTGTTCACTTTTTTAATTTTTTGCTACCTGGATTTGCCCCCTGCACTGCAAATTTGCAGAGCACATTTTAACATTCCAGGCATGCAGTTTGTGGCACCACAAAGAGGTTTACGGTGTCACAAACCACATGTGCCTGCACATATGGATGCATCCAGAGAGTTAAATACTGCATTCCCTCACTAATGCAAGGCTATTGGGTATAGCAGGGTTGACAAAGATATGGCCACACAAGAGCCATGTCATCTGGTCCATGGGGCTCCCCATGTGTCCAGAATTTTGGTGGTGTGGGAGCAGTGGCAATATTAGTTGCCATTGCTCCCAGAACCACAGCCGTTAAAGCTGCTGCTGCTGCTGCTTATCCTGCTTCCAAATTTGGACCCATCTGGAGCCTTTTAGCCCACGGACTGACTCAATGCACTGGATCAGGCCTGTGGAGCCAGATGAGTTGGGCACCACTAGGGTATACCACTATATTTGCTTGGCTAGGTTCCTGGGTGGAGTTGCACTAAATTATTCTACTGTCTTTCCTTGTATTATTTTTAGCTAGTTTCCTATATTTGAGGACATGCTGAGAGATTAATCCAGCCAGGGCCGTCCTGGGGGGGAGGGGGAGCAGTGAATCAGGGCGACCGCCCTGGGCCCTGCGTTTTGTGGGAGTGGGGACCCGCGGAGCAGGGCACAGCAGCGGTGGCATGGAGCTGGGCAGAGTGGTGGCTCTGCATCCAGCTGCTCACTACCCCCCGCCCCACACTACTGCTGCTGATGGTGGCAGCAGCAGCTTTGGGTTCGGGGCTGTGGGATAGGAGCTGGGGCGGGGCCCAGCATGGGCTGATTTGTCCCAGGCCCTGCACCTCACTCAGGTCAGGTCTGCATCCAGCCCTTTCAAAATTGAATAAGATTCACAAGAATATTTGTGATAAACAATCTCATTAACAATTTTGTCTGTCTCCCGCAGTTGCATAGTTTTTTGGAAAAAATGTTCTCATCAGATTCACTAGTAGCTTCTTAATGAAACTGTCAGACCTGACTGACACTCATGAAAACTGTTTTAGTCTCCAGCTGAGGACAGCTCTTCAATGACAAAGTAGTGGACATGCAGCATTTGTGAGGAAAACAATCTAATCAGCCAAGGCAGATTTTTCTTGTATGGCTATTTATTGCAATAGCAGTTGAGTGCAGTTCAGACAAACAGTTTTATAAAGTATCTAATTTTACAGGCATTCACTGCTGCTGTTTTGTACCTCATGCAGACAGCAAGCATTATTCCACAACATGATTGCCTTGTAGCTTGAGCATAACTTGCAGTGCCATATGTGTCTGTATAGTACCTTCAGGGAAACAGTGGAGAAAAATAGTTCCTCAACAATTTGAGTCCTTGATGAGACTCTTTGGCTATACACTGTGGATGGACTGCACTTTGGGAGTAGACAAGGGGAGTACATACAGTGTGCAGATTTGATGGTGCTCCGGGCCCAGCATGGATGCTCTTTGGTATAGTGTAAATCTGAGTATGCAGGGGCCTCACTTTGTGCCGTCGGTCAGATGGGAGTGATTGTATAATGCACAATCTTGGAACATTTTTCTTCTGGACACACCATTCCATTCTGAGCCATCAGGTGCTTCAGTGGTATGACTACCTTTACACCCTCACCCTACTCCTTTTCCTGGTGGATGGAATTGTGCGTGGTAAGGGCTGAGACAAGAAGTTGAGATGTGACAGTGATCTGAGTCAAAGCGTTGTATGTTGTTCTTCCTGGTATTCCTGCTTTGCTTGATCTCCTCTCCCTGGCAGTGTCTCCTTCCTCATTCACTCCCATCTGCTCATTCCTCCTTAGTCTTGTGTAACCAGGATAATGATCAGGCTGGGAAGGTTCAAAGGTGCTGTCTTCAAAGTTAAGCCTGATTCTGATCAGCCAGCATATTTTGATGTTCAGTGTATGAAGCTTGCCTTGGCTATATTGATTAGATTCTTTCTTTTCCTAGAAAGACTTCAGGGTATACATCCTGGACTCCTTCCAAGAGGAGACTCCATGAAAGGTTGAGAGAGAGAATTAGTAAACAGGCAGCAATATTTCTCAGCTTCATGTTGTTTCTACAGTGCTAGGCAGCTGCATAGAAAAGTCTGTTGATGCAATATATTTTTTATGGAAGACACTTTTGTGTAATAACTGTTCAAAGTTAATAAGAATAATAATTAAAACACAGTTTAAAATAATTGTTTCTTAAGGATTAATCTACCTGCATTTTATTGCAGCCCAAACCTAAATTAATCTTGAAATCTAAATGTTCAAAGTTATGGAACAGATTTATCTTCTATGAATTTAGCTGTTTTTAACTACTGTTTGTTTTTGTATTGCTCAACTTTTAAATTGTTCCTTTCTCTTCTTTCTAGTGGTATGTGTGCAACACAGAGCAATTGTCTGAATCCCTTCAGCCTATTTTTGTCCAGAGTTACCTTGACCAAGGAACGCAGATCTTCTTAAACAACAGCATTGAGAAGTCAGGCTGGCTCTTTATCCAGCTCTATCACTCTTTTGTGTCTTCAATTTTTAGCCTCTTTATGTCTAGGACCTCTATCAATGGGTAAGTGAAAAGATTGTACTTGGTCTCCTTTTTTGTAAACATATATTGGCCCAGAAACTCCAGGTTTAGATCACCAAGTGCTCAGTCCTTTGATGTCCTGCCCTACAGAGTTGCTGATTTTCTTCCAAGATATGCTTAGCTTGATTTTCTTCATTCTGTCAACTGAATCGCCTCTGAACCACTTTTATGCGACTCATTTGATCTGTACATTCAGTCAGGATTTTCTAACCTCACTTAAATGTTTACACTTTTACTCTTATCGCAGCCTGACAGATCAGAAATTCTGTCATGCCTTTTTAAATTCAAGAGGGGAAAAATGTACACCAGTTAACAAAAGGTGATCATAGGATTCCCAGTTTATCCCAACATAAATACTGCTATTATCCATTGCTTCTCAAATTCCTGTTGGAATGGGGGTACTTTCTTAGTTCTTCAACCAGTTATTTCTCCTCCTTCCATTTATTCATCCTTTGCTTTGCTTACCATCCCTTTAGAGCTGTGATGACTGTTTTCCTAGTTGAAGATGGCTGTATAAAACCATCTCTGCATCCTGGCTCATTCAGGTAGCTCTTATATTTGCTGGAGGGGGTCACTTCAGAGCAATTGAAAAATTCCCTTATGTGTAATTGTCCTTTGGAGGCTGAGTTCCTTGCGTCTGTAGTTTTGCTAGATGCAGAAAAGTAGATGGAGAAATATGGTCCAAATCTAATATATTGTGGATAGCTACCACACAGTCAGACTCCAAAACCTATTATACAGATAATTATTTTCATATGCCTGCAGCTTTCTTATCATTCAGTTTTTAGTAAAACATAAAGCAAAATCAGAGCTTCAGCTTTTCCATATAAATTCATTTTCTTTTGTGCGTATTTTAAATGTTGTATATCCAGGAGTATCTTTATGCAGCCTCTGAATAGTTGAACAGAATCCTAAAGTTTATGGGTTGGACTTAGTGTAGTGTAATGAATATGTGCTACCCAGTTGTCCTAGACCATTGCTTCCCCTTTAGAACCCTATTTTTTTTCCTGTGTCTAAGGTACTTTGAGGCTTAATTGTTGGGATTATTTTGCTGGTCTCTTCCTGGATTAGTTGGGATGGGCTTCAGGGAGGTGTAAAGTTGCACAGAATTTAGTCTGTGTGCAAAACTGCTCTTCTTGTGAACCCAAATTCCAGACTCTAGAAACAGTTCGCTACCCTTACTTTTGCAGAACATATACAATTCCTTTAATGAGGCAGTCTCTTCTCTGCCCATCCATCCCTTTCAGGCACATGCGCAGCTTCACCTCAGTTCTGACTGTCTGTGAAGAATGAATTTATTATAGCTACATGCTTGATATTTTTCCCCTCTTCCCTTTGCACATATACACCCTTGATTTGAGGACAGTAACCAGCTACCATGGCTAGCAAATAGCCTTTTTCTTTATTTCCCACCAGCTGATTCTCTGAGCTTTCCTGTCGAGTTCTTCAGTTACTTTTACCTTTAGATAAAGGTCACTTTGGTTCCTCCTTTTCCCCCTTTTTTTCTTCCTGTTCCATCTGTCTTTTTTTTTTTTTACAAAGGCTTTCAACTGCTTTGAATGATGCCTCTTGGTGCCTTCAGGAATAATAGCCATAAGCCAATTATGCAGTGGGGCTGACACAATGTGCTGCAAGGGGGTTCTACATAAATGGGCTATACTCTATATTTAATATCTTCCCTTGGCATCTGTGCTAGAAATTTAACTGATGGGTTTTTTTTTCCTGTATCACTTTATTAAGTATGTATCCGTTTTCAGAAAATTTGGCATTTCCCTGGATTACTACTTTTTCACCTGCACTGCTTATTCTCTTCATTACTCTTGATCATAAATCCTTGCCTTATTCACTCTTATAAATCTCTTCGCAGCTGTTGTGGCCTGTTTGTACTAATCATTGTCTTAATTTTGACTTCAGACCTGAAGAAGATAGGTTTGGTATTTCAGACTGAAGGTAGCCCAGCATAATGTTCTTTATCTCCCTTGCACCTCTTATTGACTGATTCTTCTTCTTTTTCCCTTGCCTTCCCTCCTCTTTCATCCCCAGCCCTTCTATTGCAACAGCTGAAATCTTATAATATATGCCCTGCAAACAATAGCAGGAGGTCATTGACATGAACCACAAAGAATCCAACTGTCAACTGTCCAGCAGCCAAGTCCTTAATGAATTGTTCATTTTGTATTATACACCCTATCCAGTCCAACAGGGAGTCATCAGATATTAGCAGGGATCCCCAAAACTGAATCATTATTTTGTATGGTTTTAAAAAAGAACCCTTTGTCTTTCCACTGCTGCAGCAATGTCACCCTTACTTGCTCTTAAGTCCTCTTTAGTCCTTTTTCACAGCATATTCATCCTTCTTTGTGCCTATTTACAGTTCTGCTCTCATTTGCTATTTCCTTTCCTATCTGAAAATTTTGGCTAAGTCCTGGTCACCTTAGGCACAGAGTTAATTTAATGCTGGGGTCAGTTGGTCTGCTAATTCAAATACAGTAAATTGGATTTGTCCTTTGTCTTTTCTTCCCATCTTTGGCTTTGTCCTTGTTTTCTTGTGGAGTCTTCTAAAGTAGCACCTCTTTCCTATAAACCTTCTTTCCCCTCATCAGATCCTCCCTAAAGCCCACATAAGTGTATGCAGATACCACCTTGTATGTATGTATTTGAGTTTTCAGGCAAGTACAATAGACAGGTTGAATTAAATTGTAAATTCTGCCAAGCAAGGGATCATTGTCTGTTATGTGATTGTTAAATGCTGGATGCTTCTATTGCACTCCATAAAGTATTCCAATGTCCTCTCTTTTTTAAAATTTGTGCAAAATCCAACACTTTAATCTTTTACATTTCAGGCTGCTGGGAAGAGGCTCAATGTTTGTGTTTTCACCAGAACAGTTTCAGAGACTGCTCAAAATAAACCCAGAATGGAAATCCCAAAGACTTCTCGACTTAGGAGCTGGAGATGGAGAGGTCACTAAGGTCATGAGTCCTCACTTTGAAGAAATCTATGCCACTGAGTTGTCTGAAACTATGATATGGCAGCTTCAGAAAAAGAAATACAGGTATTATAATAAATATATTACTTAGTAATATTTAGTGTAAAGAATGTGGGAGCTGCCTAGTATTTTAAGAATGTTGTTTGGTCTGTCACTATATAGCTTGCTTATATGAATGGGTAGTTTGGGAATAGCTTGACCTGCACATAAAGGTGTATTTGCTTTCCAGTCTGATGTGCCCCACATATCAGAACAACTTTGCCTATTTTTAATAATTCCGGCTTCATGGCGAGCATACACCAGTTTGATTTAGTTCAAGAGACTCAGGGAAATGAAAACAGATTTAAGACTGACAGCTCTGAGATATGAGGGCACTGTGGGGAAACAGACTGAACCCCAGTTCCCAAAAGTGGGGATATCTGAACAAGCTAAGACTACCTATGCTTTAGATAAGGCAGATATTCAGGTAGATTTGTGAGAGAACTCGCTGTTCATTTACTTTGTTCCTACTATTGTTAAACAGTAGTGTAAGCAGATTTGATGTAACCAGTCTTTGTGAGGAAGATCCAGATTAAAATGTGTGCAGTAGATTGTATAGACCTGCTAATGGTTTTTGTGGAGAAACTGTCCTTTTAAAAGGCATAAAAAATTCTTATCTGCATGTTCTCTTATGACAGCATGCCAATGATGCATGTTAGGTCAGCCTGATCCGTTGGGAACTCTCTTCTTCCCTGTCATTCTAGGGAGCAAGAGCTCTGAGACCATGGGTTCAGTTTGCAGTTTTTATTAAAACGCTTTCTGTATTTCTCTCTTTAGAGTGCTTGGCATAAATGAGTGGCAGAACACAGGTTTCCAGTATGATGTTATTAGCTGCTTGAATTTACTCGATCGCTGTGATCAGCCACTGACTGTTTTAAAAGATATTAGAAGTGTTCTGGAGCCAACTAGAGGCAGAGTCATTCTAGCATTAGTTCTGCCCTTTCATCCATATGTGGAAAATGGTAAGTTGACAGACCAAAGATACTTCGGGAGGTTGGGGAACGGTTTTCAGGTTGTGTCTTGAATTAAGAGCCTCCTAATATAATTATGTTTACATTTCTACATTACACTTTTAAAATGTGCTTGTCTTTTGTTCCTTAAGTGCTGCTACAATTTAAAAAAAAATTAAATACAAGTATGTGTTCAACTTAAGATTAATCTATCACTATAGCCTCTGACTGCTTATTCACTAGCCTCATCCAAATCTTGAGCAAATACATGGGTCATACACCATGTCCTGAAGGCTGCCATGCTCAGGCTGAATCAGAACAAAGAGGGTAGTCAATTCTAGGGTGCTCTTCTGAGATCATGATACTAGGAACCCAGCCTCCATACACAGAGAGCAACACCACATAAGGTGAGAAAATAACTTCTGAGCAGTTAGAATCAAGCTGTTTAGAGTGCTATCGGTCAGTGTCAGTGGTTTGAATTGTATCTTGAAATGCATAGGAAGGTAATGCAATTTTGGCATTAGAGTGTGCAGCAACTAAAACAGTTAGCATTTTCTATAATTCTGGTGGGCACTTATATGGGCTGGAGGGCCACTTAAGGAGTTTTGGTGAATTGTTGAGTGGGGAGGGGCGTGCTGACCTGGCCTCCCATCACGGCTGTTTACACCACTGGGTGGGACGAGGCTGGGAAGATGCCAGTTGACCCTATCCAGCCTGGTTTGCCTTGCACCCACTGCTGAGGACACTAGACAGAGTAGATGGGCGGGTGGGGTCCCCACTGAGACCGGCTTGGAACCCCTGTGGATAGGGCATGCTCAGCCAGGCAAATGGGGTGTGGCAGTGGGAGGGTGGGAAGCAGTGTCTGGGAGCCAGATGGATGGGTGGGGCCTAGACCAGGGCTGGGATTGTGGTGCCGTGATGGTGCGAGGCTGGGGCCCAGGGCAGAGCCACAATCTGCTCCCTGCACATCCATTGCAGGTTCATGCAGGGAGCTGATCATGGCTCTGGCCCTGGCCCTGGCCATGCTCCTCTGCACTTCCTCCTGCCACAATGCTGCTTCCTGTCTGCCTGCGGTCCCATCCCATTCACCTATCTGAGGGTCCCAGGCCAGTGTCAAGAAAGACCTCACCTACACGTGCTGTCCAGCGAATGAGCCAGGGTGCCCAGGAAGTGGGACCAGGTCTGGCAGTGATGACGGAGATAGCGGCAGCCAGAATGTGAGGGCAAGGCTGAGCTGCTGCCACAGGGGCTGCCAGGAAGCCAAGTCCAGCCACTGCACTACTCCGGCCCCACAGATTACAAGTTCCTGGTGTGCCTGAGAGCTGTGCTCAGGCACTGGGTGGGCTGTGTTCTATGCCCAAGGGCAGCCACTCACGCCATGGCCTGGGCTGCCCTGCACCTGTGCCACATGGGGCCAAGGGACCCACTGCAGGCTGGATAGAATCACTTGGCGGGCCTTTTCTGCCTACCCCTGGTATAAGTTGTGGTTAATGTTTGTTTGATATTTTTATATTAGAGGGGTCCAGAGTAACCTTTCAGTCATCTTTGAGTTTGGAGAAGTAACTGAAAGCTTTTTCAAGTGTAACCAGCTTTTCTTTCAATGTTTGTAAATGTTGTGCCCTAGATTTTCAAAAGTGACTAGAGATTTTTATTTATTTATTTATTTATTTATTTTTATGTTTTCGGTCTCAATTCTTGAGTGCCAGTGTGAGGCACCCAGCAGGGGTTGACTGAGAGGCTGTGGGTGTTCAGCACTTCTGAAACTATTTAGGCATCCTTTCAGGTGCGTAAGTTTGAACACTGCTTTGACTTTGCCACTTGTGGGGCATCTCTGATCAGATGCTGTCAGTGGCAAGCATCCTGAAGACCATAAGGGCATCAAAAAAGATCCTTTTTGCTTTTGTAGGATAACATACTCTGGTGTCGTTGTAACATTCAGGGTATGAAAACTAAAACTAGAAAAGGTTTTTGACTTAATGCAAGAATGAATGCAAGACTGCAGTAGTATTACATTAATTACATGTCCTTTTCCTTGAAGTTTTGAAAATAGATCACAGTTTCATATGCATATTAAAATAATATATGAAGGCCTGTAATGTGTATAAAGTGGCTTTTTTTAAATCAGTAACATTTAAATCTGTTTTCTGTTTGTTTGTTGTTGTCTTTTTTCTGGGAGGGGGCAAAACTAGTCTTGTAAAAACCTATACAACATTTTAAATGCATTTTGATGTTTTGGACACAATTTCTTATTGCCTTTAAGGTGAAATGGTTTGTTTTTGTGTCCTAAAAATTCTGTAAGATTCCATTGAATAATGAAACATAGAACAGTCTCTATACCAGTATCCTTATGTTCTAGATTATAACAGTGACTATTATTCTGTTTGTTATATACCTTTTTAGAATTGTACATGTGTATTCAACTTCTCTGTATTTTGCAATCAGTGGTATCCAGGATCTGCTTTCCTGCATTCGCCTCTTCTGACTACAGCCTATTGGGCAACTGCACAATAAAACTTAATGCCAATTCTGGAGATACTGAAGAAGGGACAAATGCAAGAGCATATTTTTACTTCCTTGTGCATCCATGCCCTAATATTTAGTGGAAGTGGAACTCTTCCCTGAATGTAGAACTTCAAGGTATTTTTACTGGAAGTAGGAATCTGCTGTTTGACACCTTGTAAACTAGAAACCGGTGGCATAACTAGAGAGGGGGGGGTGATAAGGGAAACTACTCCCCCCTAGTTGGGGGGGAACTGGGGGAGAAGGGGAATAAGCAAAGTAAAAGGGGCTGCTGCTGGCAGCTGCATGTTCGCATTTGCAGGTACGATCACCAACTGGAAGTCGCTGCTTCCGCTTTGCCCCAGACACCCAGCAACATTCCTATACTGCTGTCAGAAACAAGCTTTGTTTGGGCTGGTGACCTGGGACAAAATAGATACTTAGTTTCAGACAGCCCTGTTTCCAGTAAGTTTGTTACCCACCATCAAGTGGCCACGAGCAGCATTTTTACATGTCCTTCTGTCCCCTGTCAGGTCTCTCCTTTAATGTATATGTACGTTTGGATACTGGGGGGGGG